GTTTGCATGGTGACCATTGAAAGTTGCAACATCTCTGAAAAAACTAATTTAAGACCATTTTTCACTCTTATGACCATTTCAGCATCCCTATGGTCACGTGATTAAAATTCATATGCTTGGCAACTGACTCATATTTAGGGCAGTTTAATGTCCTGGGATCATGTGCTCTTCTTTTGTGACCTTCTAACAAGCATAGTCAATGGAGAAGCCAGATTCACTTAACAACCATGTCACTAACTTAACAACTGCAGTGATTCACAACAAATGCAGCAAGAAATATCATAACATGGGGCAAAATTCACTTAGCCACAGAAATTTTGGGATCCGTTGTCAAGGACTACCTGAAGTATTCTAAAAATGTTATCCAGAAATCATATTAGTTAACATTTGTGGTTAATACTAAACTGATGCCCTACATATGTTTTCCATGATCATCTCTCTTCTTATTTTTATAGAGATTCTCAGTCATCCAGCTCATAGTTGTCCCAAAGGTGCTTTTCAAGAGGCAACTGGACTTTCTGGAAAATCCAGTTACCTCTTGAAAAAGCACCTTTGGGACTCTCTTCTTGTTTACACTGGTTGAGATGGCAATTAAAATGTAAAGCATCTAAAGAACATGAAGTTGCTTAACTTCGTTTTCTACCTAGACTTATTATACAGACATATTCTACTTCACTGTGCAATACTTTTTAGATGACATTATTTCAGCACACAACTATTTCAGTCTAGCATTACATTCATTACTCAGGACTAGGTGAGAGGAATAAAAATGCAACTAAGAAGATGTATGTACTGTCATAATTATAAGGTTTGGTGAGATTCTTAATATAGAAGGCTTTATTATAACCATTTTTCAATGCACTAATGTTTCTCCTATATCCTTTCATTCTGGTCTTTACAAATTAAAAAAGATTTAAATAGGCAAAAATATGCTCCCCCTTTTCAATTAAGGACGTGCCTTTTTTAGTCTCTGCAGCACTGTTTAAAATTGCAAAATACAGCATTTTTTAAATTTCTGTCTTGCATGAAGTAACGGAAGCTTTTTTAAAGATTTAAATTAACAAGTTGCGGGGTGTTCGTAGTAATGTCGGTATTCGGCTTTTTATGTAAGCAAAGCATTCATGATTTTTCGTTCCCTTGATAACCAATAGGGAAAAATAAAAAGCTAAATGCATAACATACCATGGGAACTTTTCCTGATTTTACAGTTCAACCTAAAGGTCTTTTGGGGAATAAAATGTGAACAATTATAGTCATCATTTCCCTTTTTAACAACTTAGGCATGAAATACTTATGTGCGTCAGTTCATTTTTTTTATGCCATCAGCAGTTTATAAATATATAGAAGGCTTTTCTAGGAAAGCAATCAAGCTGTTTGTCAGAAGAGTTATGATGATGAAAAGGGTTTTAAATTTTCTCAATACTATACTGGCTCTTAATTTTTAACAGGCCTTTTATTACAAGTAGTCTTTTGGGGTTGTCAATGGTATTAGACTACAGCTCTCACAATTTGCTGCAAGCACCACACTGGGGAAAACTCATTCTCAGTAGTGCTAAATATCAATCATCTCAAAATCAAAAGTTTATCAGCTCATGCCTACTACACTAGATCCAAAGGTAAAGTTTGGGCTGGAAGTTATCAGGCCACACTTTTTTTCTAGCATGAATCATTAGATCAATACATATCAAGAGTTTTTTTATTGTCCAATCAGTGGACCCAAATACTGTCTTCATCCCTGTCACGGCATCTTGCTCATCTTTTCTCTCTAAAAATGGCTTGTGTTAGTATCTGGCCTTTCCTCTGCCCTCGATAGGTAAGGTAGGAAGGTAGGTAGGTAGATGGATGGATGGATAGATAGACAGATAGACAGATAGATAGATAGATCTCACACACAGGGTTGACTATGACTTGAATTGTTTCATATATTTCAGATATGCTGCAACACCAATAATATAGTTTTTTCTCTGTTTCACCAGTAGCTGTTTTCAGATATATGTGTGTGTGTGTGTGTGTGTGTGTGTGTGTGTGTGTGTGTGTGTACTGTTTTCAGATAATCTTGTGTAAGGTATTCAGTTCATGCCTTCTTACATGACGCTTGTCCTCACTACTAAAGCAGACATATCCAGATGGGAAGTTCACTTCAAGCTCTCTGCATCTGATGTGCCTGTTCAAACATAAAGACATATTAATAAACTCAAGTTTCTTGCAGTTTGAAAGTATTTCAAGCCTTTCTCTTGAATAGATTCTCTTCATGGTCAGATTACCAAAGTAATATTGGAAGTTATAAACATAATCTGATATATAAACAAAAAGTCAGCCCAAAGGCCATCCTTCTTTTGCAATTTACATTAAAAATATGGCATTGTTGCATCTGTCATTTCATTTTCATCTTAGAAATCCTTATATCTGGAAGCAGCAGCACGCTTTCTAACCATTTCCGCCATACCAGGTTGAATACCAATAAATGGGAGCTCCCTCTTTCAGCAATGATCCTCGACAGACCCCAAGATCTATCTTTTAATATCATGCCAACAGATAATACCCATTTTGTAGCAAGAGTGAGACAAACTATCCATCTCTTGGTGATACTTTCCTTTTTTCTTTTAGTAGAACCATTTTCCTCTTGGCTGTTCATTATCAGTCTAACCAACTCAGCACACTTTAGAAGCATCAGGAGCTATAGTTCACCCTATTCTCAGTTTCAATATCCTTTCCATCCATCAGAGAAAAGACTTTTACTCAGAACTTATAGCATTACATCTTGGAGAATTCCACTGCACTTCAAGGTTAGGTAAAGGAATCCTGCACAATGACAAGAAACATGAAAATAATCCGTAAGAGATAACAGTTCTTTCACATTTTGCAATAAGTGAGGCAGCATATCTTTTTTTTCTTCTTTTATCATGATGTACTTTTTTTTTTCTTCTAACTTACTAATGGAGATTTTTTTTTTTTAAAGACCAGTAGAGTTTTATCTCCTAGTGCAGGGGTGGGATTCTACCAATTCGCACCTATTCGGAAGAACCGGTTGTTAACATTCTAAGCAGTTTGGAGAACCAGTTGTTACAAGAAATTACTGGCCTAATCCTGGAAGGAAGGAAGGAAGGAAGGAAGGAAACATTCTGGAGTTGCTTACAGAAACTGCCTCTCCATTAACCCTTATTACATTCTTGGCAGGATTAGACTTCCTGTCTCAGGAATGTCTCTGGAGTTTTCTTTCCCTCTTTTGCTGGTACTTTGCTTGTGTGGAGTGACCATTCAAAGTTACAATGGCACTGAAAAAAGTGACTTACCACCATTTTTCACACTTACGACTGTTGCAGCATCCCTACAGTCATGAGAGGCCAGGCAAAGAGATGCATGCCTCGATGTGAGTGATATTGAGTTGGCCATGCCCAGCCAGTCACATGACCACCAAGCCACATCCACCCAGTCACATGACCACCAAGCCACACCCACCAGCTAAGCTATGCCCACAGAACTGGTTGTTAAAAAACTTGAATCCCACCCCTGCCCTAGTGCCCTTGCTGCTTCTGCCCTTGAGCTTCTCCGTTGTTCTTTCGGTTAATGCTTTTTGAACCTATGACTACTTCCCTAATTTATTGCTTATGAAAAGTACTTGATGACCGTGACTTTGGAGATTTGTGTGCCTTACAAAGAAAACCTCCTTTATTTTTTTCAGAGGAGTCAAATAATCCTATGCCCGGATATGCCCTTCTTTCCAGAATCGATTTCAATGTTCTACTTGAATCAGAACATCATACTGTTTTCCCCAGCCCCTTAAAATCATTGAAAACATGGCTTCACTCTTTTGAGTGTCTGCTGATGTTGCCAGTATTTCTCCAAATGGATGGTGACAAGCAACATGTTTTGCTATGCGCTGGTCAATCCTTCACACCCACTTCCAATCTGTACTTATCACACTTTAACAACTACAACTTTAACAAATTTTATTGGGAGAAGTGCCCTCTCAGACCTTTGTCATATAGCAACAAGGGCTCAGCCCACAACATTCACAAGTGCTGCAGCCATTGGCCAGTGCTTCCAAAGAAAGTAACATTTGGAAGGGGGGTCCTTTCTTGAGTCTGGTTATGACAAGCAGCCATCCTTGTAAAAAGGATAAAGCTCACTACATACTTGCTAGTGTGTGAATCAAAGAGACAATGGTGAAGACCTGGTTATTTCCCTGTAACTACAGTTTTTCAAATGGTGATGTTCACACAACCCATCCTTTTCTTCTTCTTAGTCTCAAATGACCTTACTCTTCGTACAATGTACTTTAGCAATCTTAGCAGTTGAAGGAATTTGGCAGGAGACTAATTGGGCTTCTGGGTACAGGTGGAATCTAAGACTTTCTCCAATTCTGTATGCATTAGAAAAATCCAATTAAGGTTTTGCACAAAGGCACAATTTTGCAATGTGAACTCACATTTTGCTTTCCAAAGAATTGCGAATGCAGGTAAATAATATAATGGTGTTTTTGTTTTCTTTCTTTAGCTTAGAAATGATAACTCATTATAGAAGACTCTATAGTGAGACTCATTAGACATTAACATTCAGATTTTTAATTTTTTTATTCCCCATATGTTATTAACTTACAGAGGTTAAGAATGAAAGATGTTACTAGCTTTTTTATGAATTTGTGATTAATTATAAGTTGTTTTAAAATTATAAAGACAATAAATAGCACTTTATAATCCAGAAATAAAAGTCAAATATAATAAAAAGCACTATGAAAAATATTTTATGTAAACATAATTAGTTCATTCAGATAGAATTGTATTTAATTGTTTAATATATGCACAAATATAACACTTATGTCCAACTTCTATCCGTTCCCCCAAATAAAAATTACATTGTTATATTTTTAGCTGTATTTGTCATGATTAACTGAACTGATAAAATGTTGCTTCTATAAGCAAGACTATTTTAAGCTTGTATGCAGTTCTCAAAGACATTTGCAATGCTTTTATACGATCCTTTTTGTTTTATGTTTACAGTGACAAACAAGAGACCTGCACAAGCATATATTACAAAAGTTAAACAATTTGAAGGTTCTACATCTTTTGTACGAAGGTCACAATGGATGCTTGAACAGCTTCGCCAGGTTAATGGTTTAGATTCTCATCGGGTAAGTATCTGATAATTTAACAAGGTCCTTTGACTTGTCTGTTGTTTCTTGTGATTACTCAGACTGCCTTCATCCTTTTTTGGGGGGGAACAGTTCAGTCATTAGTATATGTAGGAGAGGGGCAGTTGCTTTGATATTACTTTTTAAAAAGTAGATGCTATAATAGATATTTTGAGATGATAGCCCTAAATCTTCAAGATCCTGAGTAATGATTCCAGATATTCTTGTTTTTTTCACTAAATTGTTGTAGATTTTACCACTTTATTATATCCAGCAAGCAATTAGTCTAATGGACGATTTGGATAGAAGCTAATAATACATATTTCTACTCTTTGCTGTTTTTAACCAGTTAGTAATCCATAAAAGGACACCTCTTCCAATCCTTTGACCATCCAGTTTACTCAAGATCCTTGGCAAATAATTTTTGAAAGGTTTTTGAACATTCAAGAATGTCTACTCCATTTAATAACAAATGGCACTAAAGTATATTAACAAGACAGAGTTTGCCTTTGCAAAATCCATGCTAATTTTTCTTTAGTAATTTTTTATTCTCCAAATGCTTAGTTATTTTTAATTTGATTACCATTTCTACATATTTGTCTAGAATTGATATCAAAATGACTGGCCTATAGCTTGAAAGATTTTAACTGGTCACTTTAGAAATTGCTGCTACACTGATCTTCTATCTTGGTACTGAGACTTGATTTAAGGTACAAGTTGATTGTTAGAAAATCAATAGTTTCACATTTAAGTTCTTTAAAAACCCTCCATCGAGTGCAATCAGAACCTGGTGGTTTGTAACTGTCTTTCAAGATGTCCTAGAACTGTTCCCTCAGTTTGCTTTAGTTGTTCCAATTACCTCATTGAGAAAATCAATATAAACTCTGATATCTGTCCTATATATTTATAGAAAAGATGGATATAGAAATTAACTTCATTTCTTTGCAATTCTCATAGCCACTTTAAATCCCTTTTGTTGTTGTCTAATAATTTCCCTGTGGGCGCTTCTCTGTTCTGTCTATAGTTTTAAAAGTTCTTACTCTGTAATGTTGCTCTGCATCCTTAGGTACTTCAGTTTGCTGCTTTATACTATGTCAGAACTAATATATCCTTCATAAAAAGAACAGCACCTTCCTTATCATTTCAATAATGCCTGTATCCAGGAATTAATACTATACTCGATTTCATTAAGGGCCACATCAGGGTTGTGTTCGACTTCAGGGAGTGAGATGGGTGTGGCCTGCTTGATGTCAATCATGTCGGGGGTGCGTGTAGCAGCCTGAGTGCTATGCCAACGAAAATGGGCTCCTGATCTCCGTTTCAGCTTTGACGGCCTCCTGCAACACTCTGTCAGCAAAAACAGAACTCAGGAGCGCCAGAGGTCAGGAGTCTTTTTTTGCCGGCAGAGATACTGCGGGCTGGTCCCTTACTGTTTCCAGGGTGGCTCCACAGGCCAGATGTAAGCACCCTGCAGGACAGATGCGGGCCGCAGGCCTTGAGTTTGACACCCCTGCTATTTACTATTGATTCTCTCCATTATACAATCATTATGTTGTGCCCATTATATCTGTTCTCAGATTCTCGTATAGACTTTAGAAATTTACATGTATTTGAAGCATTTACATATATTTAGTACTTTTCATATAATGTTGCTGTGAGCTTTTTTCACATCCTCTTTGTCTCCTTTTCATGTCCTGAAAATCATATCCACTTATTAACCACCATCCAACTTTCTTTTATCCCTTGTAGTATTATCAAAAATATTTATACTTTCTAAAAGATGTAATTCTTTTAAAGGAAACCACTTGTCATCTTTTCTATAGAGTCAGCTTAGAAGTTGCTCTGTCACATTTTTGACCAGCAAGTTGACTTCATTTGGGTTCAACAAAGCCCATCTCTATCATATAGGATTGGCCTGTCTTCAAATATTCATAGTGTTTAGCAAATCTGTTATACCAATTTTGTCACTCACTTACTGAAACTTCTCATCTTTGCAGCTGGCCCTATAACAAAGAACATTTTTAAGAATGCTACATTTACAGTTCCAAACATCAGCCTGCTAACAAGCAATCTAGTTCTGGCTTCTAAGATTGGCCAACTTATATTGTACAATGGTATGGATACCAACATGGACTTCGACCATTGTCATTTTTCTCCAGTATCCAGAGGTTTACATATATAGTGTGTGATAGCTTTTTCACAAGCCAGGCAAGCTTCAGGGTCATCTTCATGCCTCCCGCAAACTTACATATTTAGGTTTTTGATGAAAAGATGAATTGCCTGCCACTGCCTCCGAAGGAATGTTCTGGAAGCAGAAAATGAACAAAAATGAGCTTATCACCTAAATATCTGATTCCCCTTATCAGAAGAAAGAGTTTAGTGTTATAGTTAAGGCATTAGGCTAGAAACTAGGATGTTTCACTTAAGGCACGAAACCAGCTGCGTAACCTTGGGCTAGTCACTCTCTTATCAGTCCTAGGAAGAAGGCAATGGCAAATCACTTACAAAAATCTTGCCAAAAACCCTGCAGGAACTAATCCAGGCAGTCAAGGCACATATAGCATGCACACACACACACACACACACACGCACGCACACACTCAGGCAGGCAGGCAGGCAGACACCCAAACATCTTTATTGGAACATCTTTCATCCTTGAAATGATAACCTCATTTCCCAAAGAGATTCTCCATAACAAGGAATATCTGTTAGTAGGTAGTTAGAAATAGACCATCAGGAAACTGACTCCAAGGTTTTAACTATTTCAGCTATCATAAGAGAATCTTGAAAACCAGTCTGTTTCTTTTCCTCCCTTTACACCCCATTGGATTAGGGATTACACCTCATTGAAACTCCCGTCTGAGTTTCTTTCTCTGTTTCTTGGATTTAACACACATTTTTGTTCCAGTCTACAATTCTCTCCTTGATCATTTCTATGGCTTTCTAAACTAACATTCTGAAAGTTGGACAAAGCTTTCACATGTTGTTTACATGGCTCTCTAATTCTCAATATCTGCAATTCACCCACCTTGGTTTCAATGGAACAGACTTGTTCTGCAAGAATTCATTGTACTGGGTATGAACATTTACTATATACACAGAAGGCAGGTAGATACAAATGAACTGGAAAGCAGTCTCTCCCGTACTTTTACCTTTATACCAGTTACTTTTAGAAACGTGGTTTTTTTAAGGATTGGTTGACCTAAAAGATAGATAGATGCAACCATGTTTCTCACAAAATAAGGCCGGGCCTTAGTTTTTTTTGACCCCCGGCTAGGCCGTCTTTTTGGGGTTGACTTAATTTCATCCTCCACCTAGAGCGGCCCATATGCACATACCTCTCCACAAGGCCGTTTCTATCAGCCAACGAAAGCTCCCTTGAGTCCCCAGCCGCTTCAGAACGAGGCATGGCTGCCTGTGTCCCCTCGCCATTAGGCCGTGTCTTTCGGGCAATGGAAGCTCCCCAAGGGCAACTTCTCCTGGCCGATCGAAGTGGCTGGTGACTGCCCTTGGGGAGCTTCCATCACCCGAAAGACACTGCCTAATGGTGAGGGAACACGGGCAGCCACGCCTCGCCCCAGAGTGGCTGGGGACTCTGCCTTCAAGGGAGCTTTCGTCGGCCGATAAAAACGGCCTTGCGGCGAGGGAAGTGTATGTGTGCGCTCGCCCCGAAGCCACTTTTACTGGCCAATCGAAGTGGCTGGTGACTGCTCTTGGGGGGCTTCCATTGTCTGAAAGACACTGCCTAATGGCGAGGGGACATGGGCAGCCATGCCTCGCCCCAAAGCAGCTGGGAACTCTGCCTTCGGGGATCTTCTATCGGCTGATGTTCTATCAGTAGATCGGGGTATTCTAGCCTAGGCTACCTGTAGGGCACTCCTCAAGGCAAGTTTTCTCCCCACCCCATCCTTCCCCCCATTTCTCTTTACCTCGTGTAGTTCTAACGAACGATGTGAGAAATGGCAGGGAAACGCATGGATTAAATAGGCCTAAATTTGGGGGATGGGGCTTAATTTCACCTCATGCCTAGAAATCATGCTGGGCCTTCCTATTGGTGGAGGCCATATTGTTGGAGAAACACGGTACATTTTTACCCAGTTTCCAAGGCTGGCTTTCTGGAGAAGAAAGATCACTGGACTTTTTCTCCATTCTGCTCCCATGCAAAGCTTTCTGTCCTTCCTCTGGCAACGTCCCAAATCTTTATAAAGAGGCAGAGACTTGTTATCTATCCTAAATTTCTTGGCAGAAAACATATTTCATTTCAAGTGCAGATTCTTGGAGTTCCAAATGATCAGCAAAAGTAGCATCTAATGTTGACAACCTAAAATTCAAGACTAAAACATTCATCATAACTTGTCAGTATGATCTATGTTTGGAGATTATGGAAACTAATTCAAAAATATTTCAGGGATCCAGAATAATATAAGACTCTTTATCATGCTGTCTTCCAGCAGCGTGACCATGTGTTACATTCTGAAATATACTCTTATAACTTGACAACAGATTATTTCAGAGCCAGATAGATTCAATGTTTGTTTCCATTATTACACTGAGAACAGCTGCCTTCCATCGGTTATTGAATTATCTATTTGTCTTCAAATAGCATTTTATAATAGCATGGAATTAAAACTATTATATAATACAATTATTGTAAAAAGTTGGTCATGAACTTTTGCATAATGTTTTAATGTGTTATTAAAGAAAATCTAATATAGCAAGTAAGACTTTGTAATATTAAAGTATTTCCCTGATAATCTGATCTGTTTCTTTCTAGGATTCCCCAGAATTTGATTTATTGTTTGAAAATGCTTTTGACCAATGGGTGGCAAGTACAGCCTCTGAGAAATGTACATTTTTTCAAATTCTCCATCATACTTGTCAACGGTATCTTACAGACAAAAAGCCAGAATTTATTAATTGCCAGTCTAAAGTTATTGGAGGTAAGTGCTACATGTTTTAATCACTGAAGATTTTTGTTTTAGGACATTGCATCAATTATAAATTGAATCTATTTATATTTATTTATAGTTTATTTAAAATCTAGACCAGTTTGCTATGGGAGTCCGTGAGTTCTAGTCCTGCCATAGTCATGAAAGCCAGCAGGGTGACCTTGGGCCAGTCACTGTCTCTCAGCTCAGCTCACTTCGTAAGGTTTTTTTGGGAGAAAATAGGAGGAAAAAAGTGTGTCATATACAGTATGTTTGCAACCTTGAGTTATTTTGGAAAATAATTAAGGCATGATACAAATACATACATACATACATACATACATACATACATACATACACTGCTCAAAAAAATAAAGGGAACACAAAAATAAGACATCCTAGATCTGAATGAATGAAATATTCTTATTAAATACTTCGTTCATTACATAGTTGAATGTGCTAACAACAAAATCACACAAAAATTATCAATGGAAATCAAATTTAGCAACCCATGGAGGTCTGCATTTGGAGTTACACTCAAAATTAAAGTGGAAAAAAACACTTTGATGTAATGTCCTTAAAACAAGTAAAATGAGGCTCAGTAGTGTATGTGGCCTCCACGTGCCTGTATGACCTCCCTACAACACCTGGGCATGCTCCTGATGAGATGGTGGATGGTCTCCTGAGGGATCTCCTCCCACACCTGGACTAAAGCAACCCCCAACTCATGGACAGTCTGTGGTGCAACGTGGCGTTGGTGGATGGAGCGAGACATGATGTCCCAGATGCGCTCAATTGGATTCAGGTCTGGGGAACATCAATGCCTTTGTCTTGCAGGAACTGCTGAAACACTCCAGCCACCACATGAGGTCTAGCATTGTCTTGCATTAGGAGGAACCCACGGCCAACCGCACCAGCATATGGTCTCACAAGCGGTCTGAGGGTCTCATCTCGGTACCTAATGGCAGTCAGGCTACCTCTGGCGAGCACATGGAGGGCTGTGCAGCCCCCTAAAGAAATGCCACTCCACACCATTACTGACCCACTGCCAAACCAGTCATGCTGGAGGATGTTGCAGGCAGCAGAATATTCTCCACGGCGTCTCCAGACCCTGTCACGTCTGTCACATATGCTCAGTGTGAACCTGCTTTCATCTGTGAAGAGCACAGGACGCCAGTGGCGAATTTGCCAATCTTGATGTTCTCTGGCAAATGCCAAACATCCTACAGGGTGTTGGGCTGTAAGCACAACCCCCATCTGTGGACATCGGGCCCTCATACCACCCTCATGGAGTCTGTTTCTGACCATTTGAGTAGCCACATGCATATTTGTGGCCCGCTGGAGGTCATTTTGCAGGGCTCTGGCAGTTCTCTTCCTGTCCCTCCTTGCACAAAGGCGGAGGTAGCAGTCCTGATGCTGGGTTGTTGCCCTCCTATGGCCTCCTCCACATCTTCTGATGTACTGGCCTTTCTCCTGGTAGTGCCTCCATGCTCTTGACACTACGCTGACAGTCACAGCAAACCTTGCCACAGCTCGCATTGATGTGCCATCCTGGATGAGTTGCACTACCTGAGCCACTTTTGTGGTTGTAGACTCCGTCTCATGCTACCACTAGAGTGAAAGCACCACCAGCATTCAAAAGTGACCAAACCATCAGCCAGAAAGCATAGGAACTGAGAAGTTGTCTGTGGTCACCACCTGCAGAACCACTCCTTTATTGGGGATGTCTTGCTAACTGCCTATGCTTTCCACCTGTTGTCTATTCCATTTGCACAACAGCATGTGAAATTGATTGTCAATCAGTGTTGCTACCTAAGTGGACAGTTTGATTTCACAGAAGTGTGATTGACTTGGAGTTACATTGTGTTGTTTAAGTGTTCCCTTTATTTTTTTGAGCAATGTACATACTGCTACTATTTTTAAATTTCATCTGGGCTTATTGGTAATATACATATACAAGATTAACTTTGATCCTAATAAAAAGTATCAAAACATTCTTCTGGGCTTTGAAGTGAGATTTATAGACATTCTAATTATTTAACTAAAGCATTATTTAATAAAGCTAGAAGAAGATTTTCCTACATAATCATTTCCTGCCTGGTTTTAATCTATTTTGCTTCACTGCATAAGTATATTCCCTATGGAACATGTGTCACTTTTTAATTCCTTTCTCTATTGGTTTTATTGTTTCCCATTTAGCAATAATTGATTTTACAAGTCTTACTAGAAGAGAAATTTCTAAACTAGAATAGGAGTTGTTGGACAATAATCACTTCTCTTAATGCACTATTTTATTGTACTAAAACATTTTTTCTTTCTGAATCAGCAACATTGGGATCAGCAGATCTTGCAAATGTTAATGTGCATCAGATCTTTTAAGATAACAAAATCCTTATGTGTGGCCTACTCTGTATTTGTGATTTCCAGGAAGAAATCCTGCAATTATATTTGTTCGGTCTTCAATTACATTAAGTCTTGAGGGCACAATTTTAGAGCTGGTATAAAGTGTGTAGCTTGTATACTGCGGAAACAAATTTGCTGCTCCAAATTCTTTATTCATGGTCACTTGATCTCTAAAGAGAAGAGGTCTTGCTACATAATTTAAAATTGCTTTGAAACCCTGTAATTTAGAACCAGCTGAACTTCAGAAATTGGCAAATGCTCTGGTGCACTTCTTCTCCCTGTAGGCCTAAGTGAAGTGAAGTTTATGTTGGTATTTCAGCAGGAAGAAGTAAAATGCCCACCTGAATAATGTTTTATGGTAGTGATGCTTAAAGCATTCGTTTTAATCTCCCAAACCCGTTAATTGGAGTTTCAAAGGGATAATTGATTCTGAACTTATTCCCTATTATTAATATTCATTGTGTGTGCTTGCTGTACTTTTCTTCCTGTAGAATTGCTTAATGTCAAAGGAAAAGAAGGAGGCTGATGATGACATAAGAGACATAGTCTTTTGTATGTTCCCTTAGTTTCTCTTGGTTCTGACAATGCACTTAGATTATAATAGTCCTCAACTTAAGACTATTCATTTAACGACCATTCGAAAGATGTACTGAAAAAAGTGACTTAAAAGAGTTACAGTTTGTAGCAAGTTTCAACCATTTCACCAAACCCTGGGATCAGATGGTTGTGATTTGGGAGCTGAGCAATTGGTTTCCTTTTACGAAGGTCCTAAGGCCACATGATTCCTATTTGTGATTTTTCAATGATAGAAATGATCAAAAAAATAGGATCTGGTCATGTGATGACTTGCTTAATGACTGCGTTGGTTAGTAGCCAAAATTCCAAACCCAGTTGTGGTCATAAGTTGAAGACTACCTGTATAATCCATAAATGAAAAATCTTGTACAAGAATTCATGTTGGAGCTTCAAAATGTGGTATAGCAATTAAGATGTTATTCTGGCTGTAGGAGATCTATAGGGTTCAAGTTCATCCTCAGTCACAGAAGCTCACTAGGAGACCTGGGTCAGATGGTCTCTTAGGCTAAGCTACTACTGAGGGCTGTTGGTATGAAGAGAATAAGACAGAGGCTGTTGTTAGAAGAAAAATATGAGGATATATGCTACCTTGAGCCTGTGAATAAAAGGCAAGATAGCTCTTAACATTGTTATTTTGGAATTAAATATTCTATAGTGTTTCATTTTCATTTTTATCGTATTATTGGAATACATAATTCCCATTGAAAGGTATTGTATGTCTGATTTCTGAAGGACAGAGTGACTTTACGTGAAAACGAGTAATCTGTCTATGGATCATAGTTGTCTTAAAGGTGATTTTTCAAAAAGGCAATTGGTCTTTCTTGAGGGGTTTTCTTTGAAAAGGCTTAGCTTGAAGTTGCTCCAGTTCTAACTGAACAGTTCTAATAGATTTAACTAGGGACTGAAGAAGTTATTTTGGATGAAACACAAAATCTCTTCAAAGAAAATGACCAAGAAAGTCCAGGTGCCTTTTGGGAAAAACACTTTGGGACAAAAAAAAATGATATGATGAAGAGATTTTTGCACTTTTATCAGATCACTGAGAAATTAGTATAGGTAACAAAGTTAGTTGTACATTTGTTGTTTGAGAGAATACCTTTGATTAAATGAATAGGTCTGAATCTTAGAATATCAAATATGGATTTAAAACCTGGTTGCTAAATCTTCATGAGAACAGTGAATGAATAATATAAAACACATATAAGAATGAACAGAATGTCAATAATTCAGCCTTCATCATAAAATTAAACAAGGATGTGTGTTGTTTAAGATATTTACAGATCAATATGTAAAGTATGTTTTTAGTGTTGTTAGAGGTACAATTATATGTACTTTCAGATACAAATAGTGTTATGTTATCTAAAAACTCAGGTGATACACAGACCCTGGATTTATCTTATTTCATATTTTATTGTACTTTCCATAATATTTTCCCCAAAAGGGAATATCACAATGTGCATATATACAATATTGCATAAGTTCTAAAATAATAATCATTGCCATAAAAGATCAGAATTACCTCAATATCTAATATGTGACAGCAGTTTCTCACTTCACAGATGTTTAACTGTCATATTAAATTCAAAATACTAAATCTTCCACCTGCATTATTCAGGATTAAAGAGGGAGCTAAAAATATAAATGGGGAAGAGATTGGTTGGTTGATTGATTGATGATTGATTGACTTTTAAGTGTCTTTTGAAAGACATTTAAAGAAATACACATTGACATATTTTTTTGAAGTACAGATGCTATTATATATGTACAGATTTGACATTTTGTGTAATTTGCACCATGGTAGATTGCAGTCTGATAGAATATCCAGAACTAATTTATAATCTTATAGCTCAATTTCCTATGCATTACATTGGGGAGAGATAATTCACCATATTTAAATGGTTTACTGTGGAGATGATAACTTATATTAATTAGCCATTACCCCAGGCACCCAACAATATTCATTTATCTCAACAAACAAAAAAGAATCACTGAAAAAATCTTACACTGAACCTATCTTCAGGTCCATCTCTTGG